TAGTTAGGAGTACCATAAAAACAAATCTTACCTCCAAGAGATGATTAGATCAAAGTCACCAATCTATGAATCTTCTTTCTTTTCTTTTCTTCTTCTTCTTCTCTCTCTTTTTTTTTTTTTTTTCTACTGCTAGATCTGCCGCAGCAGCCACAACATCAATACCTCTATTTGTTTGTGCTTCTATGTTTCCAAGACCTAAAGCCCAAGTGGACCTATAACCCAACCTCCCAAAATTACAAACTTAACCATCTAAGTAATAAAAATTTAAAAAAAACCACCTCATAACTAATTCTTTGATGTTACTAAAATGACCCATATAAATTAATTTAATTACTACTTTATCCAAAAATAATTCTACACATAAAAATTTGGATTTTACAAGTTTCAAAACAAAAATTAAATGTTATCAATTTCTCAACAAAAATTAATTATCCAAATATCAAGATTTTTGTTCCAATAATTGATATTTGAACCATAAAATATTATAAGTTGAAAATATTATGGTATGCCAATAGAATTAGGAGAAATACATGCTGGTGGAGAAGGGGAAAATAATTATCAACACATGACAGGTGCAAGTGACAATTGCGCTCCCACAGTCTTTCATTTGTGTTGGTAATATTTTTTGAGTGTTGCTATTAGCACCTATCTTTATTTTTTGGACCCCTAATTTTTTTTTCTTTTTCTTTTTTTTTAATTCTAATTTTGTCCAAGCATGAAGTTACATTTTTACCCTCATCCCTAACATTCTAACCCTAATTTCCCAAACACTAACCCTAATTTCCCAAACCCTAACCCACCAACCTTTTCACCATCATCTCTGGCAACCACCACTGCCACAGCCGTCGACGACCAGCAGTTCCGCCGCGAGCAAGGAGATCAGCCGCCGCCTCCTCTGCCTCTACAACAGCAGCAGGAGTTTCCAGTGATAGGGCTTTTCACGCCGCCTCGATCCCCATATTGCCGCTGCTTGTGCCGGGGAAAGAGGCGTATTATTGCGATGTAGAAGTTAAGGATAGTTGTGTCAGAGCATCTGTCTAGTATCATGAATTACGGGCTTGGGCATTATGGAACATCTTAAATTAAATCTACATATGGCATTAGTGTTCATCTTTCACCTGCAATTTGCACTATTACCAAGTCAAAGTTAATTGTCTTATCTACATTTAGCTATTGGTGTTCATCTTTCATCTTTGCTGTTGGGGGTTTTTTCCAATTGGGGTTTACAGTTGGCAATGTGGAGGTTGTATTATTGCGGTTGTTGTTTGGGATTCCTGAAGGTTTCAGAGATAGAGTTTCAAAATACCCTAATTATTTTAGAGTTGTGGTTGAAGATGATGGAGGTAGCAGAGGATGGTCGTCGGTGGGAGAGGTACTGGGAGGTCGCCAAAGGGGTGGGACTGCCGGTGGTATGAAAATTGCAGAAAAAAAGTTGGTGGTCAAAAAGATGAGGACTATAGTTGGTATTAAGGTGGGGCTCAAAAAAAAGGTATGAGATTCATTTTGCCAGGCGAGGGTTTAAAGAAATGGAAGGGCCAAAAGTAAAGAGATAGGAGCTAATAGCGGCCCTCTATTTTTGAATGAGGATCCTCTCCTTGCAGCTTTTGTACTTGCGCCCGTCCTTGCAGGCTTTCGGGTCTATTTTTAGGCTCAATTTTGATAATCCGAACTGTTCATATTTTATGATTTATTCAGTATATCATACTTGTAAAATGGCATTAGTGTTCATCTTTCACCTGCAATTTGCACTATTACCAAGTCAAAGTTAATTGTCTTATCTACATTTAGCTATTGGTGTTCATCTTTCATCTTTGCTGTTGGGGTTTTTTTCCAATTGGGGTTTACAGTTGGCAATGTGGAGGTTGTATTATTGCGGTTGTTGTTTGGGATTCTTGAAGGTTTCAGAGATAGAGTTTCAAAATACCCTAATTATTTTAGAGTTGTGGTTGAAGATGATGGAGGTAGCAGAGGATGGTCGTCGGTAGGAGAGGTTCTGGGAGGTCGCCAAAGGGGTGGGACTGCCGATGGTATGAAAATTGCAAAAAAAAGGTTGGGGGTCAAAAAGATGAGGGCTATAGTTGGTATTAAGGTGGGGCTCAAAAAAAAAGTATGAGAGTTTAAAGAAATGGAAGGGCCAAAAGTAAAGAGATAGGTGCTAATAGTGGCCCTCTATTTTTTCTCTTTCCCCCACTTGCACGTACTTTCCATAGAATTACACCATTATTGGCGCTTTAAATGCACCTAACAAAATTAGATTAGACACCCAATTATCAATTTTTATTTTATTACTTTTTTTTAATACCATTCTACCCATTAATCACATTACCAAAGTAACCAAACTCTTACCCCAAACTCTGGCAGTCTCCAGCCACTGGTTTGCAAGCCACCACCATCGCAAAATCAACCCCTCTCTCTCCCTTCCTTTTACCTTTTTTTCTTTGTTGATTTGAGAGATGAAGAAATAATGTTTGATCAGTTACCATTGTAGGGGTTATACCACAATGCATATGCATATGAGTTGTTTGAAACAATGTTTGCAAGAGTTAGCAATTGGTAGCGATGACTGTTAGGTTTGAAGGGTAAATTTATGGGTTTTGGTGGGTTTGGGTTTTAACTAGTTCAGGAAGTTGCAGGTTTTGTCAATTAATTTTTTGTTTTTTAGGGTTTATTACAATTTCTTCACTTAAATTATCCTTAAATTGTCTACTTAGTTTCTGAGTCTACTCGGTACTAAAAATATATAAATCAAAATCTATTTAATCTTCAAATTATTGATGGAATGTATTAAGCCTCCGTTTGGGAAGTGGGTTGGCTTTTTGGTTTTTTTTGGCTATTTTAGCCTGGGCTAAAAAGTTTGGTTTGGGAAGGACTTTTTGGCTTTTTTGGATTTTTTTGTGAGAGAAGAATGTAATGATTATGGGTTGGATGTGATATTTTATTTTTTGTGGCTAAAATAGCCTATTTTGTCTTTTGTGACTAAAATAGCCAAAAAAGCCCCGTTTAGCTCTTGCCAAACGGAGCCTAAATTCTTAAATTATTTAATTCAAGCATATTTAATCCCCAAAAAAATTATAAAAATAAAATATATGCTCATAAATATTATAAATTGCTAAAAAGATCTTACCTCATTAAGATTTTATTACAGAAAAATCTTAAAATTTTATTTTGTCATTAAAAAGTGTTTAATTTTATTGTGTGTTTAAATTATTATTAGAATATGGTTTCTAAGTCTTGCAAATAAAATTATAAGAGTATTAGATATACTGAATAAGTAGAATTAGATAATTTTAATAATAATACTTCACTAAAAATAATAATAGAATAAAATAATACATTAATTAATTATAAGAAGAACTTAGCAAAAAAATTAAAAATAATCAATTGGAAATTATAAACGAGATGTGATGTGACATATAATACTAGAAAAAGGCAAATACATAGTCATTGAAGAAGATAAGTTATCGTTATCCTTATAAAGAAAATTCACCATAAGAATTGACGCCTATTTTAAAAAATCAAAATAAAAATTTAAGGTTTTTTGAAGTAAAATTTTAGTTAGATAGGATTTTTTATTAATTTATAATATTTATAGGCTTATATTTTATTTTTTGCAATACTTTCAATGATTAAATATGTTTGAATAAAATATTTTAGAGACTTAATAGATTCAATCGATAGTTTAGGAACTAAATCAATTTTGATTTATATACTTTAGGAATTTAGTAAACACAATCGATAGTTCATGAATTAAGTAGACATTTGGCAATAGTTTTGTGGTATTAAGTGTAATAAACCCTTTTATTATTATTATTTAATTGTATTAAAATTGGTAAATTACAAATTCACCTCCTGACGTTTATTTAAAATACAAATTAATTGTTTTCTGTGATTTGAAAAATTACAAATACTACATTGTTTGAATTGTTTATTTAATACAATTAACATAAAAAATAAAATTTCTAACTACTCTTCTATACAATAATAAAATTATCTAAATTGTTAATTGAAATATGTTTATGATATTATTAAAAAATGTTAATTGATTTAATGCTTTATTAATAAAATGAATTTGTTATGCAATTATAAGCTTGAAAGGACGGAATATAATTTCCAAAATTACATAAGCTAATTCGCATTTTAAATAAATTTTAAGAAATTTTTTTGTAAAGATAAATTTATATTTTTATTTAAAATTTGATGACATTACTATTATTATTTTCTATTTATCTAATACTTATTAATGTATGATTGTTGTTAGTGTACTGTTTAAGCTTTTAGCAAAATTTGACTTTATTTTTTTTATATCAATTGTTGTATTTTTTGTAATTGTGAGTGGAGGTCTATAAAATATTAAAAATTATTTACCATATTTGGGCCACCATATGACACATTATAAAACTAATCACAAATCATTATGCCTTTTACCGTCGCTTATTGCCCAATAAAAAATCATGAGTTCTACCTCTTCTACCAAGCCGTGGTGCAGTAGCAGTTGGTTGTGTCTACAGAATAATTGTACTAAAATATCATTAAATTCTTTTAACTACCTTAATGTGTCTTTGAAAAGAAAATCAATGATTGGACCTATTATGAAACCTGTAAAGTTCAAAAAATTATGTGTGAATGTTTTTAGTTCAAGTTTGATAAACATAATAGAAATGCATTATACACATTGAAGACTTGATTTAAGATTTTTCAAAGAAAATATTATACATTCTGTCAAGTTTTTTAGAGGGATACCCTCAAAACCAGATCAAATTAATTGACAATAACATCATAACAAAAAATAAGGGATCACAATCCAAAATCCATCTCACCTAACTCCAAAGAAAGTATGCAACAACTCTCACCGCAATTGCATAAATCACACCAATTTACTGACTTGAGCATTGGAGAGTCTTTGGCCAATAAAAATTGGTCATTCATTCTATCTCATTTGCTATTAAACAAGGAAACTTATATATCATCTGTCATCCATAATTAGTAATGCTATTATCAAATATGGTATTAACTCTCTTACTGAAAAAAATAATAATAATAACCATGAGCATTAGTGCTTCAATTGGAATTTTTTATCGACCCAGTAGAATTGTTAGAGTCGTCTTATTTGTGGAACATTTTATTCCTATAGTCAAGGCAAGTTCTGTCTCATCAGTGCTCCCCTCTGTATAGAATCCAGGTTGTTTAGGATGGGGTAGCATTGCACCCTCATTATCCAACATCGACACCACAGATGACATTGTTGGCCTGTCTTTAGGGCATTGTTGCACACACAATAGACCAATTTGTATACATTTAATTACTTCTGACATCAGCATTGTTGAACTTTCCAACTTCTCATCAACTAGATTGATGGCATTCCCTTCAAGCCATAGTTTCCATGCCTAAGAGAGCACATTTATATTAGAGATCAATATGGAAGAAAATTCCAAAAATGAAGAGATCAAACTCAAGTAAAAACTTACATGTCCAAGAAGGTTGTGAGTATGGTTAGGATGTCGGAACTTTCTGTTCCTCTGTCCACTCACTATTTCTAAAACAAGTACTCCGAAACTAAACACATCTGATTTCATTGAAAAGAGCCCACGTAATATATATTCTGGGGACATATAACCACTGCACGCCATAATCAAATTAATAAATCAAGAAATAAGTCAGTGAAACTTGAAGTTAGGTAAGTATATGCAAGAAATCTTTTGGGTACTTACTAAGTTCCAATCACCCTTCTTGTTTTCTCCGATGTTTGATCTCCTCCGAAAGCTCTGGCAATGCCAAAGTCTGAAATCTTGGGATTCATCTCATTGTCTAGCAGCACATTGCTAGCTTTGAGATCCCTATGAATAATTCTCAGTCTCGAATCTCGATGAAGGTAGAGAAGCCCTCGAGCAATCCCCACAATAATATCAAACCGTTTCCTCCATTCAAGAGAGTTACTTTTTGTAGTATCTAGCACATAGATCAAGAGAGGCATTTGTATAGAATATTAGTTTTGGGTTCAATAATTGACATAATGATATACAACTTTGAGTAGTGTGTAGTTTGTTTTCGACATTCAATCGAAGAAGTTAGAAGAAAGGTCAAAAGATCAAACCAAAAATAAAGGAGCTCAAGCTGCCGTTGGGCAAATACTCATAGATCAACATCCTCTCTTCTCCTTGAATGCAACATCCCAAAAGCCTTACAAGATTTCGGTGCTGAAGCTTGGCAATCAAGATAACCTCATTTTTAAATTCACCAACTCCTTGTTTGGAATTCTCCGACAGCCTCTTTACTGCTATCACTTGTCCAGTTGATAGCTGACCCTATGGAAATACACAAGCTATATTTTTTTTGTTTTTTGTTTTTGGGAAGTAAGAAAGTAAATAAAGATTGAAGATAAAAGCATCATACACGGGCATTCGCCAAACAAAATGTCTAAGGTGAAAGCCACCTAGACAAATATGGGGCCACCTAAGGCAAATCGACACTACATAGAAGAGCAATGAAACAAACAAGAAAAAAAAGAATTTTTTTTTAACCCTCATGACAAAGATTTGAATTTACACTCTTTTGGCGCACACTCGCAAACACGCAAATTTACACTCTTTTGGCGCACACTCGCAAACACGCAACACAGAAAATTATATGACTTTAGTACGTGCAATTCAAATTACCTTGTAAACTGGTCCGAACCCACCTTCTCCAATCTTATTAGAAATAGAAAAATTGTTTGTAGCATTTGCAATTGTGACTATATTGAAAATGGGCAAGTCTATGTTTTCATCATCTTTGAATGGAATGTTTGGCCGTGAACCTGTCGATCACAACAGATGGGAAGATCAGGAAACAAACTTGAAACATGGTTACATTTGTGTCCACAATGGCATTGAATTCGGCAAGACCTTGATGCACAAGTTTTGCAAGGAATTTGGTATTTAAAGTATAGAAGAAAAACAGAAGACATGGTAAATCACCTTTATTACACTAAATCTGGAGGAGGGAGAGGGGGGGAGGGACATTACAAAAGCATTCACTTCTTAATTGCTCCATGCATATCAATCTAGATAAAGAAGTTAGTAAAGGAATATGCACAAACCCTTGTTATTTTTCTATTCAAACTGCTAGATTATCAATTGTCACAAAAGCTTAAGCTATTAGAAATTGGTTTGACAGTATATATCTAGCTATCGTAACACCATTCGTCAACAATGTATGTCCAGCCCATTTTAATACCATTTCTTAAGTGCAGCCCTGACTCTTTCTTGCTATCTTTAGGGAAACAGACAACTAACCAAGTTCAAACAAACCTTGTCTTGCAGAAGATCAGGAAACAAACTTGAAACATGGTTACTTTGTGTCCACAATGGCATTGAATTCGACAAGACCTTGATGCACAAGTTTTGCAAGGGAATTTGGTATTTAAAGTATAGAAGAAAAACAGAAGACATGGTAAATCACCTTTATTACACTAAATCTGGAGGAGGGAGAGGGGGGGGAGGGACATTACAAAAGCATTCACTTCTTAATTGCTCCATGCATATCAATCTAGATAAAGAAGTTAGTAATGGAATATGCACAAACCCTTGTTATTTTTCTATTCAAACTGCTAGATTATCAATTGTCACAAAAGCTTAAGCTATTAGAAATTGGTTTGACAGTATATATCTAGCTATCGTAACACCATTCGTCAACAATGTATGTCCAGCCCATTTTAATACCATTTCTTAAGTGCAGCCCTGACTCTTTCTTGCTATCTTTAGGGAAACAGACAACTAACCAAGTTCAAACAAACCTTGTCTTGCACATCTAGGGTCAGATAAACAACAAACTCAAAACCTTTCCCCGAACTAGAGCACTAATACTAAGTCAGATCATCAATTATCCCAAAACTTTAGTTGTGAACAGACCTCAGCTTCATTGCCAAGTAGAATAGGGGTGTTGAGGGGTAATGTGGATCTATCCGGTGTACTATGCAAAGCTGAAGTGGAAACATTGAATCATGTTTTATTGTACTGCCCGTTTGTGTGGCAAGTTTGGTCAAATATTATGAGTGGTGGTTGCGGTGGATGTTCAGTAAGAAGGAAAGGCAAGTTTGGAGAGTTGTTCTTATATCAGTAATTTGGTCCTTAAGGAATTTCAGAAATTATTGTGTTTTCAATGGCACACAACCAAGCATTAAGGAGCTATCTGAGCTTATCAAAGTTAGGGTGGCCTCATGGATGAAAGCACGGGACATTGGTTGCTTCTACTCCATAGATGTGATTGTGACAAACATACAACAGGTGAGAAAATGTATCTGAACAAATTTGAAGCTGAAACAGAGGAGATGTGATTGTGTTGATCTCTTCGGTTGCTGATGTGTCTTGTGTTTTGCTAGCTTAGTTTGGCTGTTGATCTGCTAGCTCAGTTTGGTTACTGCTGTTTCTATCCTGGGTTGCTGCTGTTTATAGTCTGCTTGGTTTTTCTGACCTATCCCCCCTTCCTTTTCTGTTGGTCTCTCACCAACGTTTTGGCTTGAACTAGCAGATGATTGAGTGTTCTTAACGGTGCCAACCTAATTGGGATTTGGGAGATACACTTTGATGCTTTTTGTTGTTGCCTTCCCCTTTGTTGATGTATTTTCATATGCATTGTATGTTTTGTTTTCATCAATGACGGCTCTTTCTTTTGCTGATTAAAAAAAAACACTATCCCGAAACTTAAGATGCAAGGAAATTGACCCAACAATATTGTCAAACTATCTTATCATAAAGAACCACTGAAATATTAGGATTAAGATAATGCAAGTCATTTAAATGTTGTCTTTGACAGAGGCCAATGGGAGCAACCATTGAGTCAACAAAAGAATAAACTCTGAATAAGAAACTCTAACAAAACAAACAGGTCATTCCAACTAACTTGTTGGTAGACTCATGGTTTGCCACATTTCTTCTTCAGAAAAAAATTGCCAAACTTCGTTGAAACTAGGGAAATTTCTTTAAATTTCTGTTGTTTAAATAATTAAGAATGAAAAATTATACAATTAGGTGTTCCACCCAAATCAGCCTTAAAGTCTCCACCACAACTAAAAAGGCTGCGCTTTTTTGGTGTGCAATATGTGGACTTATGTACGTATTATTATAAGATCATGTAATAATACAAGATTCATTAAGAACAAGTCAGATATTAACTCTCTATTATGTAACATTTTCAGTATTCACTATTGAGATAATAATAGAAAATAAAACTTCTTATTCTTTCATCTGTTGTTGCTTTCCATTCTATTTTTTTTATAGTTCTATTCATTTAATTAACATTGACTTAGAGATCTTTAGTTACTATATATTCCGCATAAAGTTAACTCTCAACCAAATTAAGGAACCTTAGATTTACCTCTTGCTTGTTTTATCCTCTTCCATGTTATACAAGAAACAAGGAGGAACACCAACAAAGCTACTGAGATGGGGATAATCACCAACACGACCCTCTTCTTCTTCTCCTTGGAATCTGATATAGACACTACAAACAACATCCAGTGAAAATTATATTTAAAAATAAAAAATAAAATAAAAAAATCTGTGTAGTTTATTTGTTTGGCCAAATTTATGTAGCCTAATGAATTATTGAACACAAATCACAAGAAAGGTACCTAGGTCTGCAGCTGTAACCCGAACATACAGAGTTTGATCACCAGGATTTGGGAAGCTTCTAATATCAATCAGATCCCCATACCAGAGCAAGCATCCACTTCCCCCTTCAGCAGTATTGGAGTTAGCATAAGCAATACAAGAACAATTCTTCAAACACTCCAATTCACATTCTTTAACTGTCATACTGGTGTTCATCCGAAAATCTAACAAATCAGGGACGATCACGCCTTTGAATGCCACAAATCCTTCTCCATCCAAGCAGTTTAATGGGTATTTGCGAACGCACCCACCATCCCAAACCAACGCATTCCAATCTTGCGATGATTTAGGAATGTATCCAACCAAACAACTACATATGTAAGCATTAGAGATTGTGCAAATAGAATTAGGGCCGCAATGCCCATAACTTTCACATGGATTACTAGGTTTTGTATCAATGAAATCCCACTCAAGGTTCCTATTGTTCCATATCACAGTTTGTGTTGTCCCGGTGTAATTCAAAACCAACCTTGTTAGCTGTTGGTATAGATCAAACTCGAAATACACCTCGTCTGAATTATCAATGAAATTAGCATTGAAGATAGCGTTTTTAAGCCCGGCTCCATTAAACTGCAGACCATTCCATATCCCAGTTCGGTACTTCTTAACAGACCCTTTACGTAAAACACCTTGTGGAAGACCATCGCGATTGAACCCATAAGAGAAATCTCCGGAAGAAGGGTCATCTGCGCTCTTCCACGATGTCAAATACCGGTCCAAACCAACCTTCAAGTCCCATCCCAGCTTCATACCAGCTATCTGTGTATCTGAAGGATGATCAAAGCTTTGCCAAATATAACTTTCTGTGTTCCCACCATTTTCACTTTTCAAAACAAGATTTCCAGAGTCTAAGAGTTGTGCAACAGTAGCTTTTGACGATATATTCTGGATACCGGTAGACCACGCAACTATTCCTCCACTGTCAAGAAGGATCAGATTTCCATCATCCCCAATCCTTAGACTGCCCGATGAATCATTAAGCGGTCTGTCTCTGTTCGCCACCCAAACAATGGTTTGAACTGGGATATTGTTATACCATATCCCCAAGTATCGTCTCCTCGAATTGCTTGTATTAAAGAAGCCTAACTTGAAATCTCCTCTAGCAGATACTAATGCCCCACTGTCATTGATTTGCTGGTATTGATTTAGCATGTCATCTGCTAAATCAAAAGCAGACAAGTAATATGAAATAGCAAAAAGAATGATTCGCATGATCACTTTGCAAAAATTATGATGATGCTATCATGTGTATTCTTTTTCCTCACCTAATTCAGCATGTCCTCTTCACTCTTTTGGAAATGGCGAACAAATCAAACATTAGTATATATGGGCCAATGAGGAAGATAATATTCAAAACTTGGAAATCAGCGATAGAATAAGATTGTTACTTTGTCATGTGTTTTACCATTTCAACAGTTCCATTATTTCCAATTTTTTTCAACACTTTGACTGTATAATTAAATATTGGAGTTGTATAATTAGATATTGGAGTTTTATAGAAGATATTTATCAACATCAGATCATAAGCATACACGAACCATTTCTGTATTTTTCCCCCTATTACATTGATCAGGGTCGGCCCTCAGGCATGGCGAGCAAGGCTCCTAAATTCTGTCTAAAAATAGGATCTCCAAATAATTTCAATCTTAAGTTATATTTGATTAATTATTTCGGTCTTAAGTTATAATTATGATTTACGTCAATATCAACAACTACGATTTATGTCAACTTCAAAAATCATATCAAATTGCTCAGGAAATTTGTTATTGTAATTATTGTGAAAAATAAATTATAAATGTTTTACTTACTAATACAATAATTTGAAATTAGATTTCTCACTTAATCTTATAAGTGATTTTCATGAGAAAATAATTGTAATTTTTTTTATTTGTTTAAAATTTGAGTAGGTATTTATTAGGTAAAACAAAAAATTAATGGAAAATTATTACTAATATTTTATCAATATATATATTTTTAAATTATGTATAAGAATTGGCAACGCCTTGGGTCCCATAAAAATGAAGCCCACCTCCGACATTGATCAATACAATTGGAATTATTCCACAAAAAATAATACCACAGTATTGGGTAAACAATATGTGCACGTTTCTTTGTAGGAGAAAATGGGTGGTGGAGAATGTGATTCTCACATTTAAGATTGCTAAAATTGGGATCTAGATAAAATTGTACTGAACGATTTGTAGATTTGATCGTCAAATTAAATTAAGAAATGTAAGATTCTACTTTCAATGTATAATAAAATAAAAAATTATCCATAATGATAATGTATTATATGTAATTTTCAAATCATTAATTTTGTGTTTGGTTAAAGGATTTGAAGAGGGATTTAAAAAGGGAATTAAATAGTAGGTGAAATGTGATCCAAATTTCACACAATTTTTTCCTTTTCCTTTCTAAATCCCTCCTCAAATCCTCCAATCAAACACAGCGTAAAGAAAAATGATAAATTTAATATAATGCATCTTTAATGTGATGTTTGGAGAAAGAGTTTATAGTCAAATTCCCTATATAAATATACAATATACATACATATATAAGAAATAAATAATAAGAAATTTTTTTATGAGTAGGATCGTAATCACTTTAAGATTCTACTGAATTAAAGATCCTAGTGTTATCCGAATCGGTCAAGATTCTGATAACAATGCTCATATCTATTTTAATCTCGCATTTGATTGCAAGAAAAGGAGGATGATTGGAAGTGGGGAAACATGCTAATCACACACTTATTTTAATCCAACGTTTGTTTTACTTTGTAATATCATAGGTATTGTGTGTGGCATTGGGGATATTAAACTACTTTTTATCTCATCATAATCAAATATAATATCTCCCTCCCTGCATGTAATTATTTATCCATCTATTAACTTCTTAATATAACTCATCGTTTAGAATCCTATCGTATATCCAACTATTCATCCCATCTAAATAACATTACATATCACTAACAATCTTATCAATAATTCTATCATATCTAATCTTATAAAAAATAATCCAACAATGAAATATATGTACTACATTATTGGTGGAATGTTAGAAATATTTCCGAACTCTAACAATACAACAAGTCAAAACATATGTGTGGCAATGAATTTAATTATGAATAAAATTATACGCACCAATTGGTACATCTCTTATTATACTAACAGATGATAAGACATAATTTCAAAAATTTTAGATTTTTGTAGTTTGTATATTAATATACTAATTGATATATCAATTAATACATATAGCACTCGTGTTGAATTATTAGTTTGTATTCAAACTTTTCAACTCATTTGACCATGAGGCTACATATAGTCCACATAATTCTGAGGAATAAAGAAATTGGACTTACCATATTAACCAAGACAGTTGACAGTGATCACTTCCCTCCTTCCCTTCTTTGGAATCTGATATTTAACTCCAATGACACAAGCCAGGTCAAAGAAAATAATCTCAAAAGAAAAAAAATAAAATTATATGGACAAATTACAATTACCTCACTTGACAATTATCCAAAATATAATTGGTTCTCATCATTTGGGTGCTTTTTATATAAGTTTTCAGAATAAAAATTAAATGTTTTGACTTCAATTTCTCAACAAAAATTAATAATCCAAATATCAAGAGTTTTGTTCAAATAATTGATACTTGAAGCACAAAATAATATAAATTGAAAATAAAATATTTATTGCATGCCAATCACCTTGTTTGGTTCCATTATCCTGAATTTAATTTTTGCAAAATTATTTTTTTTTTGTTTTTCTTTTTTGGGGGATGCACCAATAAATCCCAAATTAATAACTTATGCACTGTTTAGTCCTAAAAGTTTTCTTATAGACTGAAAGGTCCCATTACAATGTTAATAACATCAGATACAATGTTAATAACATCAGAGTCATGTTACAAACATTGGATTTCAAACATCTAATGTTCATCAAATTTCAATAATGTTTGAAAATATAGGATGAAAAACATCTAATGTTCATCAGATTTCAATAAATTTTGAAATTATAGAGTGAAACATCAGATCATTTACATCATTCACATCATGTTGATATAAAAATGGGACTAAATGGAGCATAAGAAAACTTTTAGGACTAAATGGTTCAACGTTTCAAAAACTAGGACTTATGGGTAAATTTTCCTTCTTTTTTTTAGTGAATTTTTTTAATATTTTAAGCAATTTTTTTTTAGATACACTTAATACAAATACAATTAAAAGTATAATATTTGTGCTTTTTTTTAGTGAATTTTTTTAATATTTTAAGCAATTTTTTTAATTTTTAAATACACCTAACCCGAATACATTTAAAAAGTATAGTATTTATGAATTTTTTTTTTAGAAAATTCATTAAGCACCAAAACTATTTAAAAAAATACAAAAATTCAATACATTTTTTCATATTCTTGTGTATTTATTGATTTTTTAAAAAATATTGTACATTTTATGTACATCTAGGCTATAGTTACACCTAAAAAGTAAAAAAATTGCATAAAATATTTAAAAAATTCACTAGAATAAAAAAAAATAAGAAAAATAAAAAAATTTAATTTTCATAAAATTAAATTCAAAAAACCAAAATTACCAAAATGCACCCTCTCAAAATTATACCATTTTTTTTATTACCGTTTTAACCATTAATCAAATTACCAAAATAACTAGACTTTAACCCTAACTCCAGCCACCCCCTCTAGCTCTAACAACCTCTGGTCATCCCGGCTACCGATTTGCAGAACTCCGATGACTTCTTCCTAGCTCTGGCCACTCCTTTCCACCACCGCCATTGTCTGGACTTTCTAATAATGCCATCACCATCGCAACATCATCCCTTTCTCTCTCCCTTCCTTTTACCCTTTGTTTTCTTTGTTGTTGTATGGGTTGATTTGAGAGATGAAGAAACTATGTTTGATGAAATGGTTAAGAGTGACGCTGTGTAATGGAGATATATAAGAGTTCTTTCATCAATTATTATTGGGGTGATTCACGATGCATACAAGGGCCATGTTTGGTTTGTATTTGTGAAACAATTTTGACTCACTTTCTAGACTTAATAATGTGTTAAGAAGATGATTAATTGATAACCAATTATCTTGTTAACACATCACTGGGCCTAAAAAATAGACTTGTATATCATTTTCCTTTTGAAAAATAATTTTTTGGAAAGAATTTACAAAATTTGAAATTTTGTTTGGTTGTATGTTTTGAAAATAGTTTTAGAATTTTAGAGTTTGACCTGTTTGGGAAGATGGTTTTGACTACAATAGCCAATAAAGACAAAACAATCAATAAGACAAAATGTCACATCAAAACTATAATTATTTTATTTTTTCTCTCATAACAATTAAATCAACTCCAAAAATGCCAACTATCTTTCCAAACATAACTTTTTTAGCCAAGATAAAATAGCCAAAACGTTAAATAACAAACTAAAATATCCAAATTCCCAAACGAACCCTTATAACGCCCTCAAATAATTAACATTTGATAATCTGTATTAACTCATCAATCATGCTTACTTATTGTAACGCCCTCAAAATAATACATAAAGCCCATCACTTTAGACATGCATTGATATAAAAGAAACCAACCATTTATTTTCATCAGAGTAATTCTCACAACTGTATTACATGTTAACAGCAAAAGCAAATGCCCTATGGGCTTACAACTTTCCAAGTTAACACTTGGTTACAAAAAGAAGAGTGATAACTCAATACATATTAAGCCCTTGGTTTGAATTTACATGTAATACATCAAAACAACAAAATAGTTTGTCTGCCTCTAGCCTCCCAAGCTATGTTCGTGGAGGTGGCATACCATCAGTACCTGAAAATGAAGTCCCGTATAAGGTGAGCCACAGCCCAGTAGAAATACACTAAACCAACCATGAACAATGACTAAAAGATTAGCAATGATAAATGTTCGATTTCCATAAACCAATTCATAACCCGTTTCTATTTCATTTCAATTTCCATTTCTTATCAATTTCACAATTTACATCAACGGCTCAGAACCTGGCCAAGCACTTATATGAGACAATGACTCATATTAAACATTTCCCATTTTACATAGATAAACGTACTAGTTGTATCAACATCTCAATAGATAAGCATACAAGCTGTATCCACATTTTAACAGATATGCATATTAGCTATATCAACACTTCCAATGATAAGCATATGAGCTGTATCAACACTTCCAAAGATAAGCATATGAGCTATATCAACACATTATCTGACAAGCATATGAGCTGTGTCAGTGGAGTCATCTCCTATCCTCTCCCAAACAGCATCCGGTTTAGAGGTCCATCCCCTATCTTCCTAAACCGTAGAG